ACGAGTGTGATGCTGTCCGCTGTAACTCTGAGGGTTTTGGTTTAAAGCTTTGTTTCATAGTTAAAGTATGTGTAACAGGTTAATCAGTGTGTCCAGATTGCCACGTGTTGTTTAAATTTTGGACACGTGAGTATACCAAAATCACTGTTTTTGATCTTTTGTCAAACAAGGTTCGGTAATTGGTCGAAAGTGGGAAGTGGACGGCAAATAAGAGCAACGACCCAAAGCACAGTTTCATCATCAATTCCTACTTGTATTAAATTAAGCTTATAATATTTCAGCAGTGCTTGCTTACATCATGAACATAGACAGAAATATAATGATCTCCCATCTCATCTCCAGTCCCATCAATAAACATTGTCATATCAGAAAATATGTCAAAATAGGTTGCGATCAGATGCTTGCTGGTAGGCAGCAATATTCTCAAATGCCACAATGGATTTTATTTTTCATTGGCTTTCATAATAAAGAGTTTTTACGTGTATGTGCAGATTCGCACAGGGATGGTGCAGGTGTCGGACGGGAAGTCTCGTCCGCGGCCGGCGCGGCTCGTGCTCACGATGGAGGCGGTGACCATACAGCGGGAGGCGCCCGCGCCGCCGCAGCCGCCGCGCGACAAGAACGTACCACACGCCAGGGTGACTACTTATATTCTTGGCAATGCATTGTTGCAAGCGACCTGTCGGCCTAACAAGAGCATTTTTATTGACACTCGATACGCAATAAAGTGTTACTGTATCACATATCAGCAGTGTCACAAATGAGACAGGGTTGTTTTGCATGCTCTATTTTATCATATATAGAGAAGTGGTGTTCATGATCCAGTAACCAGCCCGTACGAATTATTAAACTTTTAAGACAGCAACACTGTCGCTTTGCTTAACCATAGGGAACACAACAACCTGTTTTGCAGACATTTTATATACTGGAAAAATATGATCTGTTTTATCAATAGCGTTATCCCGTCGCCTGCTTACATGGTGATTTATGTAATGCATTTTATCGACTTTGTTTTAGGAACGCATGGTCCAAATTACACGTCAGAAAGTGGGCGGACTTGGACTTAGCATTAAGGGAGGATCTGAGCACAAGCTTCCCATCCTCATCTCCAAGATATACAAGGACCAGGCGGCGGATCAAACAGGACAACTGTTCGTTGGAGATGCGGTTATTAAAGGCAAGCGGTCATTTGTGAAAAATAAATAATGTGACCGATTTCGTAGGTAAATAATAATCTAAAAAAAAGAATCACAGTTGCATAAATATTTGACTGCTTATTAAATAGCAGATGTTAAATTTATGTTGTTTTTAGCTACAAAAACAACTCGTCTATTAACGTTTTCCTTTTTCTAAACAGTACATTAATACAGTTCTTGAATACCTTGCCCTGTTTCTTTCTCCACGCAATTTTTGATACGTTCAATCCAGTGGTGAAGAATGTTAGAAATATGAAAAATAAAAGATGTAAATAAAATCCAATAATGATTTCTAAAAACATACCCACGCTTGTATACCTAGCATCATCATGCTAGGTCAGACGTAAAAGTTAAATATGCCTGTTTTGACAATCCCGAAAATGTTATAAATGACAAATATAGCTATATAATGTTCGTATTTATTTGTTTTAGTTAACGGGGAGTACATAACAGCGTGTAAACACGACGACGCCGTCAACATCCTACGGAACGCTGGCGATATAGTGGTCCTCACCGTAAAGCATTACAGGGCGGCCACGCCTTTCTTGCAGAAACAAGGTCAGCGTCTAAATCCTCACTTGTGTACTATGACTCTGTACTCATGACTCTATCCTATGCGCATCGATAACTATCAGCGATATTTTTAAAAATTGCACAGACTGACGGATCAAAAATACAACAACAGCTTTTATATGTTTAATGAAAAATGGCATTGTGAATGCCAAATTGATCATAATATAATAACAGCTTAAAATTAAACCGGTTAAAATTTGTTTTTACCTGTTGGTTTAGTGGCATACATTAGTATCAACTGAGGGTAGGGTGAGGGTAAATAAGCTCGTGCTAATATTCGATAAATATCACTCGCGTGACTTAAAGCGATAGCTGGGAAGAATATCGCGATAACATCATTTGAGTTCACGTTGAATTTCTACTTAAAAGACCATTGTTTGAGCTGTAGTTCAAAGGCAGTATCTTATTCTTTTTAATAAGTAGTAATTGCTCAATTTCCTGAAAAAAAAAAGTCAGTTACGTACTTTTAATCACATCACACTTCGATATTATGGCCTTATTTTCAAAGTTGCGATATTGTTTGATCGCGTAGCCGACGGGGCATCGGACACGGACAGCAGTACGGGTGACGATCATCCATCGTTACACAACAAGCCGGTCGATGCCAACTGTAATTCAGAGAGAAGCGTCGAACAGACGAATGGTGGATGGCAGGTATTTTTTTAATTAATACCTATGAAATAGTATCTATCCTGAGTAGGTAAACACAACAAGTAGCACAATCAAAAAATTCGGCATCAGAATAGTTATTTTCAGTCATTCAGATCACACTTATCGCTTCTTCTCTCTTGGCTCACGGCTCTCTTGATCGCTTCTGATTTGAAACTGTCTCTGGCACCGAAAGTCACTTTTATACAAAATACCGCCACCTAGAGTACAAATCATGTAATTTCTTGAGTTCACTATCAAACTATAGAAAATGCTAGACACCACTAGAAAATTCTACGTTATGCGGCTACTTGCTATTATCTTAATTAAGCTACTCGCTGCTAGATGGCATACGATGTTGCGATTCTGTTGACGCAGAGCAGATGAGTTGGTATTGATATGCTATGCTGCTACTTCCTTCGTCACACAGATGTCGCCGTCAAGTGAATCCGATTGTGAGACATTTTAAGAAGAGTGTTAGTGGACGAAATGACAAGAATTTAAATGACAGCGACATCTGTCCGACGAAAGAAGTAACAGTACGGCATATTAATACCAACATTAGAAGCGCAACATCATATCCCATGTAGCAGCGATTAACTAAATTAAGATAACAGCAAGTAACTACCATAACTGCGCCATCGAGCTCCTCACTGTCATAACAATCAAGTAAAAATTTTACAAAGATGAAATATACCTGTCAGCATCGCTCAATTTTTGATACAGCAGACAGTTGATATCGTCACGAAGTAAAGTTGATAAATGTTGAGAATAGTTTATGTAGCCGAATTTGCACGCTTAATTTTCAGCGGACTTAAGAAAGGTTTGAGAACTGTCAAACGGGTTTTGCTTAGTTGTGAAACAGTTCGTTCTTAAAAGCATGCGCTTATCACGCTAGTCATTCAAATACTTGAAATTAAATATTGATTCTTTTAAGAGAACTTAAATCAGAAACGGAAAGATCATTCTACCTGTCTCGATGTGTCATATATATATAAGACAAAGGTGATATTCTATTAATATTTTGAAATCTAGAAATTAAACCAATGTGTTGCTCTGAAAAAACAAAGATTTATTTTGATATTTTTTATACTTCAATACAAAATAAAACTACCTAAATGTACCTATATAACCTACCTGAAAAAACGAAGAAACGACATTTAACGTTTATTCTTCGATTCCTTTACTTAATCTATAATGAAAATTCACTTTAGCACTATACCTAATGAAAATCAAAAATCAAAATGTCTACTTTGCCTGCTTTATCATTATCGTTCAGATAGCGCCATCTTTCAATCTGTTCGGACAACAGTTTATCGTCTCCTGTCTGCTGACATTAAAAAGTGCGCCAGAGTTTAAATATACAAAGGAATCTTATTCCTTTACATATATAATATTCGTTTCTTATAAAGACAGATCTAAAGAAACTAAACACAATGCAGTTGCGTGATTTCATCACTAAGTTCCTATGGCCGCCCTTCATCATTCATCATCATATCAGCTCGTCAACACCACAATATCGCATCGTCATCCGACTTACATGTCTATGCAAAATTTCAAGTCTATCACTGGGAAGTGGGTAAAATTTACGAACCTACAACGGAGCTATTTCCCTTCGCGAGTATTCCTTTTGAAGAATAAAATTGTGAAACCGGCACCTTATAGTAGAGCAAATGTGAGTCGGTACGTGTGATGGTGATGCGGCTGATGCGGCTGCGTTGCAGGTGTCGTGGGAGGAGGAGGGCAGCGCGCGCGGCTCGCGGCCCCCCTCCGCCGCCTCCGCCGCCTCCGCCGCCTCCGCCGACCGCGCGCCCACCACGTGGGTGGACGTCGTCTCAGGTGCGTCACGACATTGAACATACACTATTCCAATTCGGCCGAGTTCTTTAAACTTACCTTATAACTCCAGAGCACAGAGCGCTAGGGTTGGTAACTTCAATAATTACATTTTATTTTATTAAGTTAACGTTTTTTTTTTAGTTTTAACCTTTCAGATAATGCTTCGCGGTCGCGTATATGTCGTTTTATACGTGTGCGTGCGCTGATTCGTCCGTTTACATAGAGAGATGGTTTTTATCTCCGCTCCCCCGTCTGGGTCGATGCAGCGTCAGATTAGACGATAAGGAGTCGTACGCTCGGGTAGATGTAGTACCAGCTGAGATTCCGTCATCCGGGTAGACGTTGTATCGAAAAATCGCCCTCGCTTTTTTCGATCATCTTCCCGTGTGACTAATTGAAGTTCAAACGATAAATCGCTCATTCACCCGGCCGTTCATACGGGGATAGGCGTATGAAGTTTAATTATTTACGTGATAATTCGTCGGTCACCTTCCTGCGTAGATATTAATTATATCTCTCCATCTCTAAAATGACTCCCTAGGTGTCTTCTAGCTGAGAAATTGTTCAATCAAAATTGCTACGTTTATCGATAACTTCATATATAATATTTATCTGTGGTGCGATTTTATCGAAGAGGGTAAATATGAGATTATCGTTTCAGTTCCCCTGATGATGGGATATGTGACTCGATACGTTTTCGGTACGGATAAACTGAGACCTGGTGCTTTCGAGGTAAGTAGACAAATTAATTATACTTTAAATCGGACAAGGAAGCAAATTGTGTGTTTAAAGTTACATAATAATTTTTCTCGATAATATATGGCGTCGTAGTGATCTGAATCGCGTACACACAATCTTTACATTATTATGTACAGTAACTTATTCCGTCAATATTATATAATAATTCTACTCGTCAAGTCAATAGATGGCGTTGTGGTAATCTGAATTGCGCACAAACAATGCTTACACCATTATGTATAATGTCTACGTATATATTTATAAACTACGGGTGCTATTAAATTTTTGTATTCGTCCGGGAAACAGAAACAGATCCTATTTCAACCTGTAATAACGACTCTTTACAAAAGCGTAAATTACGGTCAAGTCAGCATAAGTATCAATGAACTGTGAAGTGTACAGCGTGTGCAAACGTATGCTCAGGTGAGGGGGGCGCGGCAGCAGACGACGGGCGTCATCCACGCGGAGGATCCCGCGGCTCTCTCGCTCTGGCTCAAGAGTATCTCCGACAACATCGTCGGCCTCACCAATCTCCAGGTCCTCGATACGTTCTATGAGCGCTCGAACGGGTGACAGTTCGATCTCGATCTCGGTCGATACAGTCGGTCCTGTCCAGATGAAGCTGCTGAACCGGTCGCTGGGCGCGGGCGAGCGCATCGAGTACATGGGCTGGGTGCACGAGGGCGTGGTGTGCGGCGGCGCGCCGTGGCAGAGCTACGCGCCGCGCTTCCTCGTGCTGCGCGGCACCGACGTCATGCTGTTCCACACGCCGCCCGCCACCCTGGCCGACCTGGCCAAGTGCCCCGAGGTGCTCAAGGTCTACCAGACCATGTTCCGCACGGTCAAGGAGAGCGAGACGGTGGACTGGCGCCAGCACTGCTTCCTGGTGGCGGCCGGCGCGCCCGCGCCCGCGCCCGCCCCCGCCCACCTCGCGCCCAGGTACAGTGTGCGGTGCAGTGTACAGTGTACAGTGTACGGCAGTGCGGGGCGGGTACACTGGGCGCGGTGCACTGTACGCGCGTGGCTCTGTGCAGGTACTTCAGCGCGGAGACGCGGCAGGAGCTGCTGCGCGTGGAGGCGGCCTGGACCAACAACGTCGTCAACTCCGTCGTCAGGCTCGGGGTACGTACGTTCCGCACCATACATACACATACATACCTAGTGCCTCATGCCTAGATTATTTTATTTTGTCAAGTCGAAATTAAAATTACCTCTATTCTAGTAGACTTCCTGAAACAAATTTTAAATTATCCGACGTCGTTGCTAAATTATGTTAAGTTTTCTAAACTAATATATGACAAAACAAAACGAATTTACGTTTTTTTTTTCAATGGAACCGATATTTTAAATTTACGTTTCTGTTTTTAACAAACGATCGATCATATGTTTAATTATCATGTGATAATTTTTCTTACACAAATATCATATGCCTTAGAAAAAGATTGGTTTTAAAAGTAATAATTTCGTACAAGGTCACGTTTATTAACACTTCGAGGATAGAATTGGTTAACCGATTACAAAAATTCATATTTCAAACATTCAATATATCTCACTAGCTGTAACACGCGGCTTCGCTCACGTGCTTCGAGGGTACTGTGTGCACTCTGGCCTGCTATACTGGAGTCTTAAGCTAATTTTAATTAAAAATCTGCCAGTGAGCATCAACCTTTATCATCACCGATAATTAATCAACGTGTCCACTTTTTAATTTGTAGTTTTTGAGAATAACGTTCATTATATGTATGTATTTCCTTAAATCCGTTGGGAAGCTGTATGACTTGAAGAGCATTACTTTTTGTAGTGTTGTTTGAAGTCGTTCTACGAATTTTGTTTTCTTAGCTATACCCCAAATGAAAAGGCAGTATGCAATTACTGACTGGATTGAAGAAATATAAATTTGTCGCAAAAGATTTTGTTTGCAATATGTCTCCATATCTTAAGCATCCATATGATTTTCCGCACCCTATTCGTGCCAAGATATGCGTTGATCTATTATTATGCCCAGATATTTTGTTGACTCAACTTTGGCTATGGGAGTACAAAGGCATTGTATCAAAGAAGAATTTGAGCATATGTGTATCTGGATTTAAATGTTCAATGAAGGTTGAGCGCATTTATACATTGAAAAGCAAATGTAGCTACTTTTTTGAATATTAATAGATAATAGGTTAGAACCAGCAGCTATTAAGTTGATCTTTCTCAGTGGGTTTATGGACATTGTTCCTTAATTACAATTAATGTACACCAGAAAAAGTTTTGGACCCAAAACGCTACCCTGGGGGATCCCATAGGACCCTCTGCTTAAGAACTAACAAGGTCACAAATTTTTACCCTTTGTTTTCGGTCATATAGATAATCAATAAATATATCAAGCGGTTTATCTCTTAATCCTATTTTTTCAAATCTGTGTACAAGAATGGGGACAGATACTTTTTTATATCAAGGAAAACTCAGTAATATTGATCTGTAAATAAGATGCACCCTGTAGTTTGACTTCTAGAATTTTCGTTTCATTTCACTCGGTCGTTAGGAATGCTTGAAATTATTTCGTATGGGTTTGTTTGAATCAAGTCTACATTCACTAAGGTATGATTAAATCAATTTCTGTTTTTAAATGTGTTAGATTTAGCAGATCATCCAAGTTCGAATAAACGATTCTAATGTTTTGATATACTATCATAGTTTGTTTTCTTTTCACATTGAGTAGAGTATCATCAGTTTATAATTTTTATACTTTCTATGTTATGAAAAGAGTTGAGTCGGATATCCATTAATACGTTTTGAAAAATTGAATATTAACTCTAGACAAGACACCTTCATGTAGTATATAAATATATTAATGCAATAATAATTATGGTGTGAATTTGTTTAAGTGTATACGTATACAACTATAAATACATGATCTGTATCAAAGAGTATGTATTTAAGTGTTGGTGAGAGTATGTAATGTACTGTTCATAGTAAATATAGTTGACTAGTGTTTTTCAGTGTGCTAATCAATCGAAGAAATAAATACATAAATTGACATAAAACCGATACATGCATATTACTTATACGGTAGAACACGGCAATAAATGAGAACAATATTGGATTAGAATCTGTAGTCACGCAGTTTCAGTTGGAACCAATTATAGAAAATCTACCGATGTTTCTGTGGATAACACGCATGGCTTTATAGAATAGTCCAGTCGCGCTACTTTCTATTAATATGATAGCGCAGTAGAATCAACACGCAAAAAATACAAAAAAATATTCCTTTTATGGAAGTCCTTTAATAATAATGCCATAATTTTGCTTGCATCTAGATTTTTGATTACTGTGCTTATTCTGGCCTTCAGATAAAGCCTTCATTTTAAGGGTGATAAAGCCCCTGATGCTTTGCTAGTGCAAAATTCTATAACTGATCCTCAAAGCAACTTAGATAGATAAGTTTATTTTCTCAGCAACACACAATTACATCACACAAAAGAAACAAAGAGGAACAAGAAATAGAAATATATCTGTGTGTCTAAAATCATCTAATGCGGATGAAGCACCGATTTTCAGCCATCACCCTGAATGAGATGAGCGGGGACAAAATAATTTTTTAATATAATCGAATGAATAGTAGTATCGGGAAGATATAATGTCAAAAAATAATATAAATAGAAATAAAAATGGTACACAAAAAAAAAATCGGGAATAAAATAAAAAATAAAAAAATAATAATAATTATAAAAATTAAATAAAAAAGGCATGTCAAGTATAATTCATGATAAATGATAGTATAGTGTCGTCATAATGATAGTAAAGGCATGTCAAGTATAATTCATGATAAATGATGTGTTAGAAGTCAGATATATATTGATAAGAATGTCAAGATAGAAATATTAAGTGTCAAAAAGGTAGCACGGGAAAATTAATTACAAACATCCGTGAAGTATACGCGACTTTTGTAGATCCAGTAAATGGGATTTAAGTCTGATTTTAAAAGCGTGAATTGTAGTAGAACGCCTTAAAGGGGGCGGCAAATCATTCCAACACTTTGTGGCCTGGAATCTGAAGCTACCCCTAAATGCTGCAGTGCGGTGACGGTAACAAACCAGTTCTGGTCTTATGGCTCTTATGGTGTACTTTTTGGATGATTTGAAAAATTTAAGCTTACCGGTCAGCTTGTCCTTAATTTCTCAATTCAGCATTTTCAGAGATTCTAGTGCCCGACGTCTAATCCACTCAGTATTTTTTCCGCTCAATTTACTATTATATTACAATTTACTCTAATACTTTGAATTTTAGTTGCTATTTTTAATCGAACTCGACAAAGTGGAGGTTCTCAATTCCACTGTAGACTGTATGTTTGTTGCGTGATTAGTGATTACTCGGGCAATTATGAATCGATTTTCAAAATTCATTTTTATTCTACAGCTTAAGGGGCCGAGAAAATTTAAATAGGACCATTAAATTTTATCGAAATTGAATCATAAGTTTTCTTTTTATAATTAAACAAAATATGCTTTTCATCAGATCTCACTTAAATATTTTGATGACATGTTTATAGCATACTTTGCATTCATTCGAAATCTAAGAGGTGGAAGTTTCTTTGTTCAAGGGGCATTATATTTTTTATGCAAACCGATTTCTTCGTGGTTACGTCGTGTAAATAAATTACTATTTCAGGACTTTAGTTATGTAAATGTAATCTTTTGTATAGATTTTTAATATTTTAGTGATATCTATACAAAATATTTGGTAGATTATTATTGTAAACTTGTAAAGCGAACTAAGTGTGATAGTTTTCTTTTTAACTTCGTTACTATAAATACTACTGCCGTGACATTTGAATTAACATAAAAAGATATGCATAAACCGTTAAATCTTATTATTAGCAGTATTTGGTTTGTAACAGTGAGTGTTTAGTTATAAGTGGCGAAGTTTCGTCGTCGGCCAGACTTGGTGTAGTCGTCGAGGCGTCGCTTGAGGTGCGGGTACGCCTGCAGGCACGACTGGAACTCCTTGTTGCTCAATCTATACACAACCAATGATAATTGTTATATTTAAATATAACAAATTTGTTCGTTAGATTATATGACACTAATTGTTCGTATTTAGTTTCGACACGACTAATAACTTCGTCAACAAGACTTACAAGTTTTTTTTCGTATCGTATCGTATTTTGTCGGGACTACATTTTTTTTCATATTGTGTTTGATCAGCCGAGAGATTCCGTACAAATCTGTACCTCACTCGGGTGTCCGAATAGAATTTCCACACTAATAGAAGTTAAGTGGATTCGCTTTCGAAGTGAGACACCTATGTGAATTTGAATTTTTGGAAAAGCTCTGCTGATCCTAGACAAAAGACTTAATTGACCGACTAGGCCACGATTCTCGTAAATCTCTTGATAATACGTGATTCCATCTTGTAATATTATTTTTGATGTCTTTACTAACAAAATTTAGATTGGATGAAAGTATAATATGATGTTAATACTCTGAACTCACTTGTACATTTCTGTTATCTCGAGTGCTATAATTGTGGATGAGCGTTGTGAACCAGGATTGAAGAGTGCTGCTTCGCCGAAGTACGATCCGTCGCGAAGGTGGGCCACCTGTAAAATTTACAATTTATCTAGTGACATGATTCAAAGAGAAAAACTGGCCACATTATGTGCAAATATTTAGCTCCTCCTGTGATCTATTAGGTAAAGAATTGTTTTGAATATATATATATATATATATATATATATATATATATATATATATATATATATTTTAAATTTCAATTCAATTCTTTTCGGAGATGTGAACAGATTTACTTTGAAATTATAAAAATAATATAATTTCTGAGCTCTTGCAAATTATCACACGCTATAATTCGCAAAACTTTTTTTTTCATTTATAAAATTGACCCGCAAACTAGTTTACATTGTTTTGCCAATAACTTATATATAAAGTGTCTTATTTACACTCCAGTCTAACCCGGTGTATAATATTTGTTTTTTGAAATCAGTTTTTACCGACGGGCTGACAAATACAGACAAATATGCGAGTAATAAGGGTCTTATAACGGTTGCTTTTTCTTTTCAATATACTAGACTCCAAAATTCTTAGGCATCTGTGAATTATTAATTCGACCTTTCATATAAAAGTAACCTTACCTCTTGGCCCGCTGCGTTGATCACAGCAACAGTGCCAGAGTATATCAGGTAGATGGAGCTTCCTGGTTGATCACATTTAATCACTGTCTGAAATATAAGATAATTAGGTTGTAAAGTGAGCACCGATTCGACCCAACTTGAAGGTAATATATCGACGAACTGAATAAGTAATTTTAACATCTTGATCAAAGGTTCCCAAACAATTTTTTCTCGTAGACCATTTTAAAAAAATACTGGTTTCGGTGGACCCCATGCTGCTACATTTTTACCATATTCCCAAAATTCGTCCAAAATGTAAAGATCTAACGATGGAAAATCACGCCAACGTAGACCCCATTGAATCCCTCGTGGACCCCTGAAAGTCCACCTAGATCACTAAGGGGATCACTGATCTAGATAAATGCGTATGCTACTTCATTGCCACTACACACTATAAAAATATATTAATTACTTTAACTTATATTACAAAATGTTGGTGTAACAGTTATAAAATTCATTTATTTACACAAAAAGAGAGAAATTGTCCCCTCTCTCACAAATGTGTAAAGTTAGTTACCTCTCCTGGCAAGTATATAACTTGAACCAACTTGAATACGATCGCGTTGAGGAATGCTATCGGCATCTCATGAAACAACGGCACATTCATCACGAGACGCTTGCAGCAGTGCATATTGATATCTTGTTTTATCTGTTCATTTATCGTATTGAGAATATCTCGTTCATTAAAGTAGTGTCCGAAAAACTTGTAATTTATAAAAACTTGAATCTTGTCCCTCAAGCTTGCCGGCATACGTTTGAACACCATGTAGTTCTGCAGCTCCTTCAGTCCTCCTTCATATAAATACATAGCGAAGCGGCTATACGCCGCCATCCGGAGCAACGTCGACCAAACGTACACCATAAACATGAGCCCTATTAAACCTATCGTAGAGCTCATTATCGTCTCTTCAACTAAATAGAAGCCCAAATCGGACGGCCTCTCTGCACCGTTAATCATGCCACCGACGTAGAAGAGAGACATCGAGTATTTAATGTAAATACTAGTGTCGTACAGGTCTTCTATAAGGAAGCGTTTTATCCAACTGTTGGCTAAACCTTTGAAGTTGTAGTAATGAACGAATATGATCGGTATCTGGTAATATATATACGCCATCCAGTGTATGAAAAGAACAAGTCGCGTGAGAACAGCTATGGAGGTAGTAGTGACATAGGACAGTTGCATTTGATTGGAGATGTTGGTCCAGGCTTTTCCGATAGCGATCAGTCTAAAGAGCTTCAGTAAATACCACGATGTGTATGTAGGATAGCGGCAGCCTTCGGTGATTTGTATAAATTGGAACGGCAGAGTGGATATTAAGTCCAGTATGAAAGTACCACATAGATAGCGTCGAGCGATTTCCCTCGAGTCTAGGATCACTCTGTTGCCGTCTCGGTCGTTGCCGGTGATAAATTTTAAACAGATATCCAAGAATGCGACGGTGTCGGCTATAATAATGTAATAGTTGTAAGGTGATGGACCTGAAAATAAACAATAGATTTGTGAATATTGTAAATAAATAAGGACTGGTTTTTATTATCTGAAATTATAGAGGGGCAGGTGACGTGTAAGAGGTTTTAAAATAAAGTAAAGCGCTTACACGGCTTGAATACTTCTACGGGGATATATAATATTGCCAGAAACCCCACGGTGAACGCGATGCAGTCCCAGTAGTGCTTGATGGGACTATACGGGTGCAGTACTGGCCAGTAGCCCAACTCCACCACTCTGTCTCGCTCTCTAGTCATACTCTTCCGACTTCGGAGATACATCTTGGATCCGTGGTGCCATTCGCAGGGCATACGCCATTCTCGTATCTAGATGTGAAATTTACACTTAGAGGAATTTAAAAACCAACCAAACTAGCTCGACACACCCTGCTGTCTCGTGAACATAACGGCAATTTACGAGCATACATCTAATGATATTTTCATTATATCATTTTGTTTGGCCAAAATAATTTACAACTTAAACGCTTAACTCGATCTTACATCTCAGCGTAAAGTCGGCTACATTATAAAATAGTATAAATTAGTCTGACTCTGGAATTATCTTGACGAGCGCAGATGATTCCGCAAAGATTTTAAATAGATATACATAATATTGTTATGTGTCAATCTAGCACGGTGGTCCCCAGTGGTGTTCGCAAAAGCATATACATATGTACCTTACAAAGAACCATCCGCCAGCAGCCGACAGTTGGCGGCAGATCCACGTATTTTGGCTCTTTGGCCAGCATGCACACGTGGTTACCCTTGTCGTCCATTCTGTAAATCTTCAATATAAAAATGTTGAATCTTTTTATATATTTTTAATAATATCTAAGTTTTCTCTTGCGCAAAAAATAATAATGTGTCAGTTAAACGTTTTTGACACATCTGACATTTACAAGTGTAGGTATCTATTCATCTGGTAGAATATATTCTTCTTATGAAATTTATATCCAATTGAAATTTTCCGAAAAAAAAATTTTTTTTATTAACATACATCTATTATATATTTATATAAAATTCGACCCGTCATGGACAATTTTTAATATAGCGAATTTATAATAATTGCACAAGAAATATATTTTATCTTTATTCAATATATGTAAGTTCGATTGTTATACTCGTATGAAACAAAAACTTTAATTAAAAAAAAAGGCATTAAACGTCCAAATCGTGCTGTCCTCTTAAGATCGTTATTGGTATATCGTCTCTGATGAATGATAGAAAAGTGGTATTGTTGTAGAAGAAGACGTTCACGGTGGTGCACGGCGGGCGCGCGGCGGGGCTCACGCTGGACTGGGCGGGGGGGTTCTCCCTCAGCGAGGGCACGCCCGGCGCGCCGCCCGTCTGGGCATACAGGTCACTCTCACGCTCACTCCTACCCATACATTCTCCCAGTCTCTCTCTCTCTCTCACACTCAGATTCATTTTTAAAAAGTGATTAGTTAACAAATGACTGACATGTGCGAGCGAATATTAATTATATATTATTATTATTAAAATTTTTGGTAATCAATGTAACAACTTTGCCGCGATTTCTAACACTGGTGGGTAAGCTTAAATATGCATCGCGAGCTCTGCCAGCCAACACATGCGATGAATGTGAATAAACTATGCTTTTACTTACCGTTTTTGTTTTGCTAGATTTTCGCAGCTGCGAGGTTCCAGCGACGACGGCAAGTCGAAGCTGAAGCTCCACTTCCAAGACGCGGAAACGAAAGTTATCGAAACTAAGGTACCCGACGTTCCGACGTCGGCAAACTTTGTTTAATTCCCGATTCAGACATCTAGAGATCGTTAAAATGTATAGTGTGTGTTTATAAGACGGGAAGTGATAGTTCGTCATGTCGTTGTGTAGGAGCTGGAGTGCCAGATCCTGCAGAGCCTGTTGTTCTGTATGCACGCGTTCCTGACCGCCAAGGTGGCCTCCGTGGACCCCGCCTTCCTCGCCTCCATACACCACAACTAGCGGTAGGTACCACACTCACACTCACTACATACTTCACTCACTATCGGATCGGCACAGATATTATACTACAAGTAATTAACCACTATAATTATACAGAATTAATTTTAACGACAGTCTACAACAGAAAATATTTACAACAAAAAATAAATAACAGTGTTATAATTTCGTATTTAAATATTAATATTCAAAAATCTATGTCTATTTTAATGTGCAATTGAGAAATTGTTAGTATAATCGATACAATTTGTTCGTGCACACACACAAGGTACAGGATCATATGTAGCAACGATATCATAGATTTTTTTTCTACTTCACCTCCACTAGTCGGTTAATCGAGACATCTATGATCCACCATAACGAACATAATATTAAAATTTGTGTGCTGATTGCGAAAAGATTCTTTAAAAATACCCCAATATGAATCATTATATCTTTTATAAATATTGTTTACAGGTGATCTGTTTCACAAACATACTCCTGCTGGAAAATTCAAACAACACAAATTGGAGAATGTTAAAGTGAGCGGTGTGGTTTAGGTTGATTATGAACAAGTCAACTGAGCTCTATCTGAATGTGTGTTGACGTCGACAGACGTCATTAGTCAATTTAATAATTTTAATGTCAGTCAGTTGTCAATTAGTTGATTTCAAACGTCAATAGACTTCAAATATTTTTTCTATAATAGTTTTCTAATTTATTCAAAATTTACATATTTTATTATAGTTTCTATACGTGTAAAGACCACAAACGTGACATTGGCGGAATTGTGTAAATGCAAATAGGCCATGAATTAAAAAAGAAGAAGAAGAAGATGTTTTCTAATTAGTTTGAATTTTTTAAACAGATCAAAAGACCTATTATTATTATTAAAATGTTTGTATCTAAAAATATTTATATTTGAACGTTCGTAGTAAATTATATTTTAATTCTTATACCTTCTATTTGAAATTATATGTTCGAGGCCTAAATTGTTTGGATAACTAAAACAGCGAATGTTGAAAGACTTTAGATTTTATATTAGCGTTTACTCCTATCGTTCCTTCTATGTACAGATCTATTTTTGAATCTTAACGTCATCGCTATAAGGGTCGTTTTCTATCGCGACTGCATCTCAATGAAACTACTTCTCGTCTTCCCTGTACATTTGTCATCAATCAAATAGTTAAAAAAAACTTGGAACTTTAAATTATATCAAACTCGTCCCTTATTGTAATCTCGTGTGTGTAGAAAGAATGTGAGTGTTTGATGTGAAATATAACAAATATACCGACAAATAACTAATATTAATATATAATGTGAGTATTATTTGGCTTAGAGTATTGTTTATTCGGAGAGGGTTGTTCCGATACGTCTTCTAGTATATAATAACTTGTGCAATTACTATCACAAAGCAAAAATGCTTTTATAATTATAGTAATTGGGTGTAAAATAAATAGGATAATCGTAAAAATAAAGAATTTCGAATTAGTTTAAATCAATTATAAAGATCGCAAAAGTTCATTTAAAAAATATAAGTAATATGTGACGAGGACGATCAACTAGCTTATAGAGTACTCCAGTTTTAATTAAATAAATCCAAAGAAATATACTTATTTTAATATCTCCGACTGAATATATGGAAACGAAGGCTATGCAGAATACGTATTAGTTTATTGAAAAGCATTTAATGATATTTTGCCCTTTAATATTATGTGCATACAATTTGCGCTTGCGTCATATCATTAATTTTAAGTAAAATAGAAAAAATATATATATTTATCATATTATGATACGTTATGTCGGTTTGTTGATATACATTTCATATTTTATCTTGACTCAATCTGCCCGATACAAAATGGCTTGTAGTGTATAGTTTTATTGTAAATCATATATCATTATAACATGATATCATGAAACGTAGATTATATAGTTAATATAATAGGCTGCAATTAATTTTATAAACATGTTCATAACCTTACTAATGGCATGTTTAAGTAGCGTTTATAGTTTTCTATAACTGTACTTATGAAGTTATTGTTAATGTAGTCTATAATATTGTGGAGGCTCTAATCTTAGAATATTGCAATATAGTATATCCTTTTTTTATATTTTAGTTTTTGTCCATAATTGTACAGTCGAACGATTTAATTTTTAGATAAAATGGCTTTGTTTAATGATTACATGTAAGTAGTAATTAAAGTATTTCTTATTTAAATGTCTGTCCCCTTTATTTGTGACGTCTTTTTAAGGCTCGGTGCAAATCTAACGGAAGATCCGTTAAGCATCTCACGAATGTATGTGTTAGTGTGTGACGGAACTTTAGAGTCATCTGTTATCAGTTAACTAACAAAGCAGCTATTTCATTATGACTCATTTATAAATTAGCTGTTTAATGTTTAAGATCTTATACGTTATTTCATATGCATATAAAAAATAATATATATTAGGATATATTTCAATAGTAGTCTAAGAATTAAATATGTCGACTGTATACTTAATATACATATATCAGTATGCCCACCGATTTTTCTTAGGTAGCAATAAATATATCAAAATATAATACATAAAAGTGACTGTTTGCCTTATGTACCGTCAATTTCTCAAGCAGATTCGAAACACGTGCAAATTATAATCGGCTCAAATTAAATTCGATATTTCTTAGTGATTAAATTAATAATTAGTATAATCATCAGTGGTCGGAATTAGGTAGAGTTATTCATGTACTTACACTGATTTCATACAGCGAAAGAATAAAGTGGATATGCCTCAAATCCCGAGATTAATTTTAAAGAGCTGAAAAATCACGTGATTTTTTAAATAAAAAGTTATTTACTTTTACACAATTTAAACTACTGCACGCACGACGTTGCCAAACTTACATCAATGAAAGAAAGAAATAAAGAAATCCCGGGAAGGTCCACATTAATATCAACATTTCGATGCAAGTACATAAATAACTCTACCTAATTCCGACCTCTGATAATCATTCATATGCTTACATGTTATCATTTATATATTCTTTTAGAATCTCAACATGGTATATACGAGACGGCTGCACGTCAGGCTGCTACAATATGTCAAATTCCTCCACTTGATTTTGATCTCTAACTGTAATGCATTAAGGCTTAAAATCAAGTGGAGAAATTTGTTAGTTGTATAGCCAGATGTGCTATTGCTAGAAAAAAATATTATTGTCATAGAATTTGAGCATGATTAATTATTGAGTGCATTTATTCTAGCTTCATATTTTTATTTAAGATAGAACTTGTATTTGTGATTAGCAAAACAGTTAGCTATGTTCAATGGACTCGTTAGAAAATATATACACTATTTAGTGTTTTATTATGGAAATGTGTAATATAAAGGCACATCGATAATATAATCTGTCCCTAGGAAGAGATAGATGTGCACGGAATCTCATTATTACTATAATGAATTAAGATTTGATTTAAATGCTTTGTGAATAAAATTAAATACGGAAATAGAGAAACCGATAATTTCCGCAATCGAATTTGGACAGCACACTTATTTATTATAGATTTTGGTCATTTTTATGTAACTCGATGCGCCGCTGTTGGCTTTACCATTTAATATTATTCACTTGTTCTCAAATAATAAAGATTTCCTTGTGAAAATTAAATAAAGTTATTTTAAATTTACATTCATCGATCAATGATATAGAAAAATATTTAATGAACAATATAAAATAGGTATTATAAATTTGTCCAGAAGGAGCGAATTACACTCGGTTTCTGAATTGAGAATTTAAAGTTAAGAACGTCTCAAATTGTTATTAAACAGGCTTTCGTTCCCGATTTCAGTTCATTTTTAATGATAAGTTGATAGCAATTTTATAAAATTAAGACTGTGACTTGTGCAACGTAAGAACTTAAACGTTTGTGCAACTGGCGATGAGTCTCGAAGATGCGATGTTAAGTCGATTGTTGTATGCGTTTTATGGGTACGGCGACGTACACGAGCACTTGTCCACATCAGCGGATAAGAGATACGCTTCAGAATTTTTAATCATGTCAAAATAATTAAAAGAAAAAATTCCTATACTTCTCGTGTTGGACATTGGAGTTCTGATTTGGCTACTTTATTAAAAACTCTTCTGTATTTCATTATATGATACCGTTTGGTTGAAATACGACTTCTTGACGTCACGAGTGGATCGCGCGCTCTAACGCCCGGTCCGAGTCGTAGTTTCGGCAGGTGTGCCACCGAAACTGAAACCCGTTTTTCGCGGCTGAAACCGAAACCAAATTATCGGTCGGACACTACTTGTAAAGCATTTTGGCCGAATATCAATAGCAAATAATCTTCTATTGGCCCTTAGGAGAAGAACTTTCTACCAAACATCACATAGTAGTGTTGCACAAAACATGTTTAATATATGAAATTATCATGGATGTTAGTCAATTTAGCGTATACTGAAGACTGAACGTGCAAGCAGTGTGGTCCGACCCAGTCCGGTCGCCGTGGTTAGACCGGCTACAGACTTTATTGATTAAAGTAGCGTTGACCGATGCTAGACGTCATTACACTATGTGCAACTTTACTATCACAGTCTGCACTCAAGGTGATTGAACTGTATTTTAGTGAAATTTTAAACTAATATATACCTTGCCTGGAGCAGTCAAGGATCACAATTATGAAATTGGGCCAAGACGTGAAATATAAGGAACATAACCTTATAAATAAACAGAGTTTTCACCTTTTTGTTAACTGCACTTTTAAATTAGAAAACAATAGTTTTTATTTTACATTTATATATAATACTGAATGTGACAGTGTAGTTATGTATGTGTAATAAAATAAATATGAATAGATCTTTGTGATACGTAAGTTTTGGCCCGGTTACATCGAACAAGTAAACCCCCATCCGAATACTGTAACCACTTTATATTAGTTAGTGGTTAACGCCTAGTTATTTATACCTATTGTTGAATAGTGTAATTGTATCCATTATTAAATATATTACTACAGTAATCATATGTGTTTATAATTATATACCTTGTTTTTCCCTTCAAATCTTAATTTGTTAATTTATGAGAATGGAAGAGTACACAGAAAGTACACAAAACCTCAGTACTTTAAATTATTGAATTAACCGTCAGTTCGTTTAGGGTCGGTGCTCATCTCAAGGAAAATCCATTATACTTTCTGACATCGAGTTCATGTAATAATAGCTATTAAATGTTTCAAATAACAAATATTTTGAATGAGGATTTGTGAGCACGCGTCGCTGTCTGTGAGGTCACGTGCTTTATTATTTTTTTCGGCCGAGTCAAAATAGAAATTAGTACATATATTTTTTTCACTATTCTCTCTTGTCTGGGTGACTGTGGTGTAATAAATTCACCATGGCAGAAGCTTTTACAATTCGAGATGTGAACGATATATGACTTGTCTAGTATTTATATTTAAATAATACCATCAAATAATTGTATTTATTTATTTTC